ATCACCATCAGTCACACCCAGATACACATCACATCACTTATTTCCCTTTCACTACACAACCACATGTGACCTGACCGACTCCGGAGGGACCAGTCGCCTTGGATATAGGTAAGTAAGCTACGTCCGAATTCCTCCCGGTCGACTGGCCGTATTATAGAACGCTCCCCCATATATTTTAGTGTAATTAGAGAGATTCCACGTGGCCACATTGAGGCCCGATCTACGTCTGCTCGGGAAGTCTTCAGCTCATGGGCCCCTGAGGATTTGACCCTTTAAGGGAGCAGCCGTAGGCCGTAACAGAGAGTGCGGAAACAGTGGGGTGATTTTGAACCGTTGGCTACATAGTACTGAGTGGCTAGGATTAAACCTTACTAAGTTGGTATTATTATATTATTATAGATTGACGACACGATCACTATCAAAAACGTTATTATTCTATTTAACAAAAAAAATTTAGTAGAGTTAGAATGAATATGTTATATAGAGAGTTAGAATGAATATGTTATAGACCAAGTGACTAACCAGAACACTATTTACAATGCCCGCGCAATATGAATAATGACAGGTCAAATCGAGCTAAGTTATTAACACTGATTTCACTTCATATTTCATAAGAACTTCATTATTTATCACATTGTCTGTTCATTATGAATATTGTTACGTAACTGTTGGGTAATTTGATAGGTACCTAAACTAACCAAGCCTAAAGAAGGTCATCACATTTAAGACAATAAGTTATAAATGTTAAAATTGTTAAAAGATTAATATGCTAATCATAAGATAATCGTATAAATAAAAAATACTTATTCAACCGATAATCTTTTAATTCAAATTTATTTATGGCGAGACCCTAATCTCGACACGTTTTTGTTTACTTTTGCGATCATAACAGCCATTGACCATATTATATGCTAGATGTGCATACTGTTACCTATTCAAATTATTTACAATACAGCTCGTCGTTCTAACAGATACAATTCTCCGAAAATATTAGCTAAATAAAGTTGCTTAGTGAAGTATGTCGTAAGAAGGAAATAAGCAAATTCGTAAAAAGAAAATAAACAATGTCGTAAAAAGCAGTGTGTTTATAAGGCGATTATATAACATTCAGCCGGGACATATGATTTTGGTCAATATAACTGATAGGTTATTCTTAAATCTAAACGATGTCATCTTAAACGGTTTTAACTGTATATATAGATATATACTTTAATTTATGTAAATTTCTTATTATCTTATTTATTTTTAATTAAAAATATATCGGAGGAATTAAAATAAATAAATAATCGTTCGATTATCGTATGTATCGACATTTCCATCTTTTTATTACTATATACCCAATTAGTAACAAATAAACTGACCAGGCTTCATCCATAAAGCCCAGTCAGCTTAATTATTTCAATAGTTTTTTTTTATAGGATAGGATGACAAATGAGCACATGACCCATAGACGTGACCCATAGACATCTACATCTATCCTCAATAAAGTCTCAAAATGCAGATGCGTTGTCATTCGTGAGGAAAAAGATGGAATGTCTCTTGTCCAGTAAAAAGGGTCTCCGGTTCTCTACACTCACCATACGAAACACAGCAGCATTAAGCTGCTATTTTACGCTGGTATTCTGTGAGAGCGTGGTCCTTCCCCGGTCGAGCCGACCCATTCGTGCTACAACTATACTACTAATAATATAGCTGCAGCATGGCTTTACCACGTACAGTTTATCATTTTGCTTATTCATATAGGGCATTAAATATTCATGATGCCCGGGCAATAATACCCAATTAATCTCTTTGTTCATAACAAATATGTATGTGTATCCTTTTATAAAGTTTTAAAAATGTTTGTTTGCGCATAATGAAAAAACTTCCAAAACGATTAACTATTTAAAATTGACACGAATTGGATTCAAAATTCCTTAGTCTGACTTAAAATTTGCAAAAGCTACGAGTATCATTTCGAAATATGAGAAAGTTTTGAAGTGACAGCTTGCGCTCTCCGTACTTTACGATCTCATAAACGGGTTTTACGAGTTCCGGGTGGTAATGACTGTCTGAAACCATGATGTTATGAATTAGACGCCAGTAATTTATGCATGAAAAACAAATTCATTGTAGGTATCACTCAGCCCTATATAAATGTGTTTATTTTTTGTATATATTAATATCTATATCTATGTATCTATCTACCTATATATATATATATATATATATATATATATATATATATATATATATGTGTATATATATATATATATATCTACACAATTGTTGCCCGGGGAGCGGCCAACGCTCATGGTGGTAGTAGTTCCGAGCTATTATATAATATAATATACTGTTTTGACTTCGGAACTTTGATAGCGTGATTTAGGTTTCAATGTGTTTTTACTTGTGCCGCAACGACAGCGCCGCCATAATTTATTAATCTAACGACCCTAGTAGGTAAACTTCTGGTTATTTATTAAACAAATATGAAAGTTATTAGCTCTCCACCTTATCTACTCGTAAATGTGTTAATTTTTGTATAACATACATATCTATTGGGCTAAATCTACACAATTACTGTTTACAATTTGTTAATCCCACGCCGATAGTAGGTAAGTCCGTAGGTACTTATTAAACGAATATAATAATTAGTGTTATGTAAAATTGGTGTATGATAATGGTAATAAATGGACCGTGCTAGCTCATTTATAGACAAGGTTCATTTATGTGCAGCAAGGTTTTGATAGGGTTAATAAACAGCTCGAAGAAAATATTTTAGCACTGAATACCCACAAAACCAATTATATAAATTTTTCTATACGCAGCTCAACCCAGCATATAATAATTCCAGGATGTGTCTCCTTTGCAAAGTGTAAATTTAATTAGTAGTTATTTTAAAAATACAAAGACTATTAAATACCTTTGATAATAGTTACTTATACATTTAATAATTTAAAATTAAAAATTTTGTACAGCCGACTTCAATATAAGTTATTTAAGAATAACTTAAAAACTATTGGTCTGACCTTGATCAAATTCATATGGGACCACACGAGAAGTACCAGCTTTCAAATAAAAAAAGAATCATCGAAATCGGTTCACCCAGAAAAAAGTTATGAGGTAACACACATAAAAAAAAACGAAAAAAAAAAGACATACAGTCGAATTGAGTACCGGCTCCTTTTTGGAAGTCGGCAGAAAAGTACATAGACCACCTGGGCAGCAGAGTCCGTAAACTATTGTTTGTATTTAAAAATATTCGTTCTTTTGCGAATATTATGGTAGTAAACCAAGTATATTTTGCATTATGTCAATCGATCTTACATTACCTATTGTATAACCTCATGGGAAGGAGCAGCTAAAACTACACTCTTGCAACTGAAACGCGCTCAAAGAGCTGTAGAATGGAATAGAATAGAATAGAATGATTTTTATTCAATACTGATTATTACATAATACTTATTGAAAGTAATTTTTTATTTACCAAGTAAATAAAAAAATAATTATAATACAAAAATACATAATTTACGTGTATTAAAAGGCACAACATTCCGACCTATCTTATACTCGTCCCATCTCTTATATACATAAATCCTGTAATGTCCTCTCGGTGTGCCAGTTATTTGTTATGAGTACGTTACTAAAACAGCACTTCAAATTGCCCTACAGAAGAGAGGTCACTGACAAAAGGCTTAAAAATAAAGTAAGTGAAACCAACATTAAAAGAAGACATTCTAATGTTAGTTTCACCTACATATGAACTGTCATTGTAGACTATTTTAGATAACGGCATTGTTTTTTTTATAGGAGAGGGAGCAAACGAGCATGCGGCTCATCTGATGGCAAGTGACTACCGCCGCTCACGAACAACTGCAACACCAGGGAAACCAGCGGATTTACAGATGCGTTGCCGGCCTTTTAAAAAGAAATAACCTCTTTTCTTGAAGGTCCCTAAGTCGTATTGGTCCGGAAAAAGCGCTGATGGTAATCGATTCCACAAGGAAGTTGTGCGAGGAAGAAAACATCTCCTAAATCGCACAGTGGTGGATCGCCTATCATCCAGATGGTATGGATGGTATCTGGAGTATAGCCGCGATGTGCGTTAGTGAAATTTGGCGGCTGGGATTAATCCGAACAATTCCTCAGAGCACTCCCCGTGGTAAATGCGAAAGAAAATGCAAAGGAAAGCAACATCTCTTCGCATTATATAGTAATTTGCAATAAAAAGTTAAGATAAAAAGTGAAATATGTAAAAAAAATGAAACTAAACAATTTTGAAATAGTTTGTTAACATAGACCTCAAAATCGATTAAAGCCCGTTGTACAGGCTCTTATGTGCATGTAAATATTATTATTGTATTGTTCCTTATATTGTTCTTGATATTGTTAGCAATAAAACTTGATAATAGACATTTTACTTCATAAACACTAGTGTTCAAAAAATTTGCGATTAGTATGAAATTTGTAGTGAAATTTTCTTTTAAATAAAACTAATTTTACGGATTTTATCGCGTAACTATACTAACTTATTTTATATTCCCGACGTTTCAAGCACTTTACAGCACTCATGCTCTCCCTCCCCTCCAACGTCGGGAATATAAAATAAGTTATTATACGCGATAAAATCCGTAAAATTAGTTTTATTTAAATGTTTAGTGTTCACGTAAATATAAGATATTTAACAGTGGTAGAGCCACGTGGCGGCTTTTGCTGTCGCACGGATAGGCCGGCTCGAACCGGGGTGGTACCACAAACTTACAGAATACCAGCGTGAAGTAGAGGTTTACCTCTGCGTTTCGCTTTGTGAGTGCAGGTGGCCGGAGGCCCTTTTTACTGGAAATGAGGCATTCAATCTTAGTCCTCACGGGTGACAACGCATCTGCATTTTGATTTGTAATAGGGGATAGATGTAGATGTCAATGGGCCGCAGCAACCACTTACCATCAGGTGGACTGTGTGCTAGGTTGTTACCCTTAGCCTATAAAAAAAATATCATTATGAAATTTTCTTTTTTTCAGTCAACCTATCTTGCTTCACACACGGTTGTAGTACCGGCTGGGTGTCAGGCGTGTTGGGCAACGAGGCTCTGGCGGGTGGGGCCTGGTTAGCAGCATTGCCTTGCCTTGTCGCATTGCCTGCAGCTCCCTTCTTTGCAGTCCTAGCTGACACCAGAGGAAGGAAAGCAGGAGCTTTCTGTGTCTGCCTGAGTTTCATTGTAGGTATCCTTCTACAACGATTACAAAATATTTATTAATTTAATCTTTATTGCACCAAATATTTATACAAAATATGTATAACTTATGCGAAATCGTGTTTCTGAAAAAATTATCCTTCCATCCATTCTCATCACTACCCCTCAAAAGTCTACTACTGACATTTGACTGTCAACATTTGACATAGTTGCCTTGCTTGACAAAAGGCTCGGCAAACGCAGTATTTTTTAATATTTTTATCAGAAAAATGCTGCTTTCCATTCCGTTTCATTTGCCTGCTGTCGCCTCTTATGAAAACGACGGTATGATAATATGGAAAAGCACCTGCCAAGTCGAGCAAAATAGCGGCACGGCTGTACCATCCTTTTCTCGAATCAGTTTAGGCCATTTTCGAAACCCTATAACTTCGTTGTGGATAAAACTAGAAGCCTGAATTTTTAGTAACCAAGTAGGCATTGTGTAAACTCGGTATATTTCAAACTTAATTAAATTTGAACCAGTAATTTAAGAGTTATAACTAGTCAAAATTTTTTAATTTTGTCACTCACTCACTGACCGATCATTAAAACTCTAAGGCACTTCTAGCAAACTAGACTTCAAATTTGGAACACAATTATTGTTTAGTATATAAGATATATGGTGTATACCAAGATTGACTTGGCCATCGCATGAAAACAGAATGTATCTCTCAAGTAATACATATTATATTAAATTAGATTGCTTAGTGCGATTGCCAAGTTAATTTATTTATTTAAAATATAAAAGATTTTTAGTATTGATGTGGTTACTATATGATGTGATTAGGTTAGCTAATTACGTAACAACTTAAGACAGAAGGACCCTTAAGTAGGGACTGAATAAATTAACCGACTTGGTATTACATGGATCTCAAAACTTTTTACGGTAGAAGAACTGAATTGCGAGACTTGTTTTTTTTACAAGTTACGTTTTTGATGACATTATTTATTATTACACCACCACCACTTGAAATTGCATTAAGTTTAATACAAGAACTGGTGACAAGCAAGCAAACAGTTCACCTGATGGTAAGTAAATGATATAGCATAAGAACATTTATCCCATATGTATAATTAATTTTACAACAATTGAATATTTATCCTTAAACTAATAGAGTGTTAGATACTTCTCATTGAATGGCTCAAATGGAAAGATTTTCACGCAATCAAAAATAAGTTAAAATACCACGGCATACAAAGTAATACACTTGCGCGCGCGAGTACGTTTGCGCGCACATACTTTTATAATAATTAGTATCTGGATATTTTTGGAAATCGTGTTTTAGGAAATTACATTTCAACAAAAAAAGTAATACTGTTATTACTCGCCAATAGATGTCAGGAAGAGTCATATTTTTCAGTTTATGTTTAAGTTGATTATCGATAAAGAGCTATTGAGTTGTCATCATATTTAAAAAAAATATACTTAGATACAAATAAGATGCGGTAATAAAGGGCTCCCAATACTAGTTTTTCTCACAAAAGAAGGAACTTAAAAAAATGAACGGATTGGAGACATCTGGACTCGACCCAAAGTCTTCTAGTTTCGGGACACCCGATTCCCCACCCGAGCTTATAATAGCTCGGGTGGGGAATCGGGTGGGAACCATGCATATAGGGGCGAAATTTACCTTCGTATTCTAATGATATTGAAGCAGTTTTTCATTGCCTGAAAACACGGATAAAAAGATATTTTCTAAAAATGAATCCTAGCTAGATCTAATTATCGCCCCTGAAACCATACTAAATATTGTTACCATTTGATTGCTATAAAGATTATGATTATGATTATTATGAAAAACGTAGAATGTGTATATATATATATATATATATATATATATATATATAATTATGTGTATACATAATTTGCTCGTTTAAAGTTATTAGATAACTAATATTATAAATGTGAAAGTTTGTGTAGATGTATGGATGTTTGTTACTCATTCACGCAAAAACTACTAAATCGATTTTAATGAAACTTTACTGCTAATACATAATAATAACACAAAGGCTATATAATTCATAAATATATTGTGTAAATTGGCCAAAATAGAAGGATAAATGTTAAGTAAGTCGGAAATATCTGTCATCTGAGAGCTATTTTGGCGTGCGGTGCAAAAACTGTAAGAGTTACACGAATATAATGTATGGTGGAATTGTTTCTCCTAAATAGTTCTACAAAAAAGTCCGCGGCAATATATATCTATATTTTATGTGTAAGCCATTATTACCAAAATAGTGAATCATAAATACAACTGTCTGAACACGCATCACGCAAAAACCTGTGAACCCATTTGGATGGGACTTTCACTGGCAGATAGCTGATGTTATAAGGAGTAACTTAGGTTACGTTTATTTTAGGGTTCTGCGCAAAATAATTCCACGTGGGCGAAATCGCGGGGAACAGCTAGTAATAAAAATAAAAGGAATTTTATTTTTGTAACTAAAATATTAAATGTTTATTAAGAAAGAGTGAGTTTTCCTGTCACAAGTAATGAAAAATACTTAAGAGGAGAAGACTATATACTTATTACTGATGTAAATTTATTGTTATATACATCTAAGATCATTTGATACGAAACATTCAGTTAGAAATGTAGATAAAACAAAAACATCTAAGTACTATATGTGTTGCAATCACCAACATGCCATTTTCATATAAGGACAGATGACAAATGAGCTCTCAGTCACTGACAGACCGCAGATACTGTATGATGATGTAGATATTTTCATTACGAATTATATAACACAGAGGAACTCCGAGCTACTCGTACCAACTTAGTGTAAAACAGCCTCCATTACATGCAGTAACGACCTGGTAAAACACGTAGGAAAATAATGGATATAGGTAGCCCAAGACCTTGTTTTGTGGCGATCCTTAATGATTTTGGAGGCACATGTTAAGGTATGTACTTATGTAGGACTATAATAATGATAAATGATTTTATATCGTCAGATAAGCTGGTGCTTAGCGGCTTGGTGTGGAACACGCGGTATCTGGACAGCGAGGGTTGCTGCTGGGGCAGGTGGAGCTGGTGCACTAGCTTTGGCTCCGCTCTATTGTGCGGAAATAGCTCCGAGGACTAGAGGATTGGCTGCGATGCCTGCTTTAGCGTGCAGGTATGCAACCTTCTTAATTCAGTGTAGTTATTTGCCAATTCCATTGCAAAATATAAGTTTTTAGTTAAGCTGAAGTGACATTTCGCGAATTAATTTTTTACGTGGCAGAGCCATGCTGCAGCTATATTATGGTTGTAGCACGAATGGGTCCGCTTTTCCAAGGAGCACGCTCTCACAAAATACTATTGCAAAATAATAGCTTAATGCCGTTCTATTTCGTATTGTAGAGAAACGGAAACCTTTTTTACTGGACACGAGGCATTCCGTCTTAGTTGGTCTGTGAGACAACGCGTCGGATTTTTATTCTATACAGAGGAGAGATGAAGACTTCTATGAGCCACACTATCTACTTATCATCAGGTGAATTATTCAATCCACCTGATAATTGTATGATCATTTGTTTACATAAGTTCAACCCTCACCGATACCATACAATGGTCTTTTCTTGCGATGATATAACTATATGTATATAAAGAATTAGGCGCAATCCTAGATCCGATTTGCCTGATCGATTACGTAGGTTGGGGAGAGCGGTACTTCATTAATTTCGTTCCACGTTCCCGGTCTCGGTAAATTACATTTAGCATACGGGACAAGCCATTATTAAGTTGCAACTGTTGCCTAATGGTTATGTGAAAGAAAGTTGTGGGTTCGACTCCGTCATATTGTCATGAACCACTCCGGACACAAGCATTTTAAGCCTACTTGTAGAGGTTAACGAAAATATTATTAATATTAATAGTAATTGATATATTTTTTTATAATTTTTCTCATAACTATTACAATGAAAGTAATGACCTCTTCAGTAAATTTTACAAACGTGTAATGTAAAGATAGTTTAAATCGAGAGATGGGACGTGGTGACCAACAGGTATTGTTAAAACCTTTATTAGGCACCGGTCTCACACAAACTAGGGATGATTAAGTCTATTCTACATCTACTTTTTTTTTAATTTTACCTTATTATTTTAAGTGATACAGACATTTATGTACTTTATCCTGTTGTTTGCTAAATTTTCAGTTGCGGGATCTTCTTCGCGTACACAGCGGGCGGTGTGCTGTCACCACACGCCCTCTCGCTGTCTATGGCGGTAGCGCCTATCTTTCTGCTCCTGTCGCTACTGTGGTTACCGGAGACTCCCTCGTATCTCATCAATGTAGGCAAAATACAGGTGCTTCTGATATTACATATATCTATATTACCGCTTCATTTTGGTTAATCACTCAAAGTCTGAGTCAAAAATAAAATATTTTTATTTAAAATTGGCCTTTGCAAAGCATTTGTTGAACGTCAAAATTTCTTAGCCTTCAACAAGTTTCTATTGCAGAATAACTTGTAAAAAGAAGCAGCAAAAAAGTCACAAGAAGAATTTTTCCTCCCTTCAATGATACATACAAAAAAATCTAAGGAAGCTCATTATGTCCACGCATTCTTATCTTTTAAATAATCATCGAATTTGTATTATAATTTCTTCATAAAGGTACCATTCCGTAGCCGACCGCAAACAACAGCAGCAGGCGACGTGTCGTCGCGACACTACTGGTTTCTATGTAGTTCTATGAAATACCTTCCGCAGCTAGCGACACGTCGTTTGCCGTAGCGGCAGACGACAGCGACGTGACGCCGCGACACGTCGCCTGCTGTTGCTGTCTGCGGTTGGCTACGGAATCGTACATTAAGAATGATTTTAAATATGCATTCGATTTATTCTTTAAGATTATCGCACGATTTTAAAAACGTAGTAAGGATTTAGCCATAGTTACCACGATTGGCAAGTGGTATGGCAACCATACTTTTAATAATTTTGAGTTGTCGTCAGGAATATGCTGTTGCCCGTCTCCAGTTTGAGTTTCCCTCTTACGATACCCACGAGATGTAATGGAGTAGTGGATATTCTTATAACTAACCTAACTAACCTATCACTATTAGCCGCGGTTTCAAAGACATTTGATAATAATAATAAATTGGAAAATCAAATGGCAAGGGATTTGGAGATTCCAGAGGCCTTAACTCAATAGGAAAGTTTTTTAAACGCAACGATGTGAAAATATAAATATTACCTTTTCATATTCTTGTTCCAGGACGCGGCGAGAGTCATGTGTTGGTTCGATGGCTCCGACTTCCGGGAGGACTTGACTGACGTGATCGAACAACAGGAAGTCAAAATTCGAACCTCAGATTGCGCAGGAGGAAGGCAACATCACATGAGACGTCAGGACTCGGATACATTTCAGCCGATGTTGAAGAGGAGCAGTGGTCTGGATTCGAACTCAGATAAAAAGGAGCAGACGTCGCCTCTAAGGGAACTGTGTATGTACTGTTTTGTATAAATGTATGCCTAACGATGCCATGCCATGGCTTATACATTGTGCCACATTAGAATGTCGAAATTGCTGGCTGGTTATCCTTCCATTGATTGCATTTTTAAGTTTAAGTTTAAGTATGTTAGGAATTTCATCGACCAAATTGACGATATATTAAAAATGTCCTAATTTGAAGTACCCTCAACCCACGTATTATGTATGTAAGCACTCATAACAATATTATTAAATGACATATAATAACATACTTAAACTTAAACCTAAAATGCAATCAATGGAAGGATTGATTGCATTTTTAAGTTTAAGTTTAAGTATGTTAGGGATGTTTTTCAATAATAGGGTGAGAAGTGTGCTTTGCTAGAAGTTGTTGTGACTAGGATTACGAAATGAATATTTCGGTGATTTGGACATGTAGAAAGAATAAATGAGAGAAATGTGACAGAGAATATGTATGCTGCAGAGGTTTGTTGCTAAGTCGGCAAGGGACGCTATAGACGGAATTTCATCGACCAAATTGACGATATATTAAAAATGTCCTAATTTGAAGTACCCTCAACCCACGACATGAGAGATGTGTCAAAAGTCTTCCTAACCCTCTGGGTGACAAGATTGAGAATAAATGTATTATGTATGTAAGCACTCATAACAATATTATTAAATGAAAACTGTTTGGAGAACAAAACCAAGGATTAAAGTAGATGTCTATGGGCAATATCCAGTTACGATCAGGTGACCGGTGCGCTCGTAAATTACATTTATTCTCTTTTACGTGTTTAATATTTAACTAAACAAAACAATTTACGTGTTTACTATTTAACTTAACGAAAATAAACAAGATAAAAATGTATTTCTTATCTTGTTTACCTTTGCTTCCATTAAGTCTGTACTGCAGCTATTATAACTATGCCGTGTAAGGTAATTGCATCTAATAAGGGCCGGGTTTTTGAAAATACTTTTTAATCAATATTGGGAAGTCTTTTAATTTGTAAAAAACATCATATTTAAATAAATTGCTTATATTTGAAGAGAAAATATTATACATAAACAAGGTACCAAGGTCGAAGTACTTACAAAATAAGTTTTTTAAAAGCTTATCTATGGTCTCTATACGGTACTAGTGCTCTAAATAAGGTCCATAATTGAAATGCAAGATTTGAGGCGTTCGTTATATACCAGAAAAATCACACATTTATAAAGCAATTGTTTAAACTACTATTAAATTCGTGGCTTCCGCAAAATGAAACGGAAATTCATATGAATTAGTGTCGTGGCCCTAATAAAGTATTATGAATATTAGTTACAACTAATTTATTTTAAAGTTATAAATGAAACAAATTGTAGTTGTGTGCAGATGTTTACTAACTCTAGTAAAGAAAATCACAAAATGTTAATAATCAGTCATTTTTTCAATCTTAGTACTTGGACCTTATTAGGTATTATACTTTTGTAATCATAGTCGATTTTTTGTCACTATAAGTAAATATGGTTACGTTTTACTTTGGTGTTAAAGGTATCAGGCAAAGGTAATATTTGAAAACTTTTTAATTCTCTCTACCAATTCCTTTTCCTGTGTGTCGTTAAAAACAGCTTTCCTTCTCATACTCTTCACGACGCTTCCAGATTTTATGTGATTTTTTAGGGTTCGCCGTAGTATATGGTATTCTAAAGCTGCTACACGCTTAGACATTTGGTTGTTTTTTCATATAATCTGGAGCATTCTGAAGATCAGTTAGAGACCATCCTGAGCATCGTTTTCTCTTTTGCGAAGGTTCCATTTTAATCTTTATTGGAAACAATATTATGTATGAACAATACTTATGTCAAAAGCTACTGTTGATTTTCGTAAATAAAATGTTATAAAAATACGTAAAAACGAATGGGTAAATGTGTTGCTAAGTATAAAACTCGAAAGCGTCTGGATTATTTTTTCAATATTAGTTGAAGTGCATGGAAGTAAAGGTGTCTCGACATGTGGCATTTATTTGCGATAGCTGTGGCTTAGCGTGGTGATCTGTCATTATCACCGCACAAAAGAGCCACTTCCTAGGCCAGCTGCTTATTTACACTTATATATTTCATTTAAGTAACTGATCACGCTTATTTTATAGCTTCTTGCCCCTAATAAGGTCCGGCCCTTATTTTGAGACAAAAGTGGACCTTGTTAAGCACTTAGATATGTCCTGAGAAAATCTAACAAAAACGTGATAAAAAAGCAATAATTTTGATAACTTACCTCGTCAATCCACCTTCTGAAAGTATTTTAACATTACTATTGAAGAATTATTACATAACTACCTGATTTTATTACTAAAACAACGCAAGATTGAATCAGAATATTTTATAGATTGAGTCAAGTCGACCGCCCCTGAAGTTATACCCAGAGCCACTGAAAAAATGGCTACCGCAAAAGCAATGAACGCCGATGCACTTTGGTATTGGTTACTGGGGAGTGCCAGCGCGATGTCCATTTTGGTTTAAGTATTAACTCCGATAAGTTTGAAGAGATGGACCTTATTTATAGCCGGCTCTTTTTAGGCGGACCTACCTTACACTTTTTTCGATTGTAGTTTCGATCAAAACCATTACTCCTTTAATTTTAGAACTGTATATAACTACTGTCTGCTTGTGTACCTTATTAAAAAAAATCAATTCAGTGAAACAATTCTCGCCGATATTCTGGCAGCTTGGTCCTTCTCCAGTCGAGACGACCCATTCGTGCTGCAACCATAATAAACTCTATCACGTTGATGGTATTCTAAATTAAAAAAAATAATAAGAATGATACCCGGTATCTGGCACCGCAGTGTTGCGACGGCGATCGCGGCGCGCGCTCGTGTCGTGCTGCGTGCTGGTGTGCGCGGCGGCGGGCAGCGGAGCGGGCGCTGTCTCCAGCTTCGCAGCGTCCATCTTGCGACACTCTGCGCACGCCGCGCCCGTGCCTGCACTCAACCTCACCGCCTACAACTTCACCATTCACAACGGGTAATATTCGACACAGTTTTTTCTGTCACGGTGGCCAGATTCAGTGGAGACGGATTATAGTGCATGAGTGAATGCGCAAGCACAAGTGCACTCTCTATTCCCCCACTTTCATAGTCCGATGGAATGATTACTGACACGACAGAAGAGAGGTCAGGCACAGGACCAACGGCTTTATGTGCTTTCCAAGGCACGGCGATTTAACACCGCCAACTTACTGAGTCCAGATTGCTACTCATAACTGGCCCGACTCGGGACCTCATAGTCAGAAACTGCCTTTACGACCAATAGACCAATGAAGCTGTCAAGGCTTTTGTAAATAAGATTAATAAGTTTTACTACAGAGTCGGAAGTTTATCGACCAAATTGTCAATAATTTGAAGATGGACAAAATTTTTAGAATATTCTTAACCGGCAAGCATATATGCGTTGTAATAGTTTCACGTTGGTGCTCTATGAGAGCCATGCAAATAAAAGCTTAATGCCACTGTGTTTCGTATAGTGTAGAAAATCGTTACGGCGATGGTCCACCACCGACCTCACTGAAACGTTAACAAAAATGAGATGACGGTGCCGAGGTAGCGACACATACGATTACTATAGCCGCTTGTCCACCGCAAGCCCGTTCCCCGAGCGCCGTCATCCCGGCCGCTGAAGTAGATCGACGCGACCGCTAGAACTCAGCCCGAGATTGTGACGCGCCGATGTACCGGCGATATAAAACACGTTTAAATTTGTCCATCCACGTTCGCGCCACAACATCGCACCGAGCCGTTTTGTTTTCAAGCAAGATTTTTGATTATGTAAATCAAAAATATATTACGAAAATTGCCACGAAATTGAAATATTACTTTTTTCTACTATTTTTCATTAATAGAACTTGTAGAAAATAAAAAATGTTTGTGACATAAAGCCAAGGATGTGTCCGAAGATAAAATTTTGCTAAGAAATGCATTATCGTATTATCGGATGAATCCAAAATTATTAACATCGTCTACGCCTTCAAACGTGCAAAAGCAGAAGAAGAAGTTGTCGCCGGTTGAACGCAGCCATTTCCTAGTTTGTTTTATTTCTACGCACTACCACGCAGGACAGCTACAATAAATAGCCTGGACCGCCGAGATCGTCGCGGTGGACAAACGATCACCGTCACGTCATCTTGATCTCGGTCAGGAATAATCTCGTTCTCGTTAACGTCACGGTTTTTTTTACGTGGTAGAGCCAAGCTGCGGCTATATTTATAGTACAGTTGTAGCACGAATGAGTCGGCTAGACCGGGGAAGGACCACGCTCTCACAGAATGCCAGCGTAAAATAGCAGCTTAATGCTGTTGTGTTTCGTATGGTGAGTGTAGAAAACCGGATACCATTTTTACTGGAAAAGAGGCATTCCATCATAGTCCTCAAGGCTGATAACGCATCTGCATTTTGATTCGCAAACGAGGATAGATGTAGATGTCTATGGGCCTCAGCGACCACTTACCATCAGGTGAACTGTGTGCTCGTTTGTCACCCGATTTCTATTAAAAAAAAGGTGACGGCGATAATAGAAAAGTGCTTTTAGACCCTTTTTAGTTGAAACGAGGCATTCCATCTTAGTTGTCAAAGGTTATAACGCATGGGCTACAGCACCGTCTTACAATTAAGTGAACTATGCGCTCGATATCCACCCTTATCCTATAAAAAAATCTTACACCCCATTCAGTTTTCACTTTCTTTTTCACGTATATACGAATTTAATCTTTTTTCTTTACATCATTTCTATATCTTTTCTCCCAGGACTGCACCTCGAGCATTACTTGGCACGTCAGATGCCGGATCAATGTTGTGTGGAACTGCGTTAGTTCTAGGGGCAGCAGTGGCCATGGTTACTGTAGAGAAACTTGGAAGAAAGGTAACAATTTAGATAATTTGTAGTTTTTTTTAGATTTATGAAAATCCTTCATATTCATCATCATCATCATTATCATAATCATTACTGTCATTACTGTCTATCTTAAATACACTGCTGAATATTGGCCATTCCCGAGGAACCTGTCTGAGCCACCTGTGTCTATCGGATTTCTTGCATATTTTATCAAATCCTCACTCCATCACTTACCTATACAAGAATACTCGAGAACCTTTTTTCCTGATCAGTTATGGGTTCTTCGAGCTATATGGCCAGCCCATTACCCATTAATCCGTTGAGGTACGTCGGATAGTCTGGTTCTACTGCGAATATTCTCATTGCGAATTCTATCTCTCATATTTATATATAAAGACCAAAAGATTCAGTCCAGAAATAAATATCCTATGGAACTGTATCTAATGTAATAATTATCCGTGAAAAATAAAAAGTGACCTTGTCAGTCTTCTTCTGTAATATCGGTTCGTAATGTATACTGTTGGATGTGGGCCTCTCCCATTCTAGGGAGGATTTATCTTAAGCATCACGTTTATCAGGCACATTTAAAATTGCAGTGCCAGGCGTCTCGCTTTTTTCAAGCTGCTTCTCGTATTCGGTCTAAATAGTTTGCGTTTAACGAAAAGGAGGTGATTATACTGTCATTTGTTGGAAGCCATAATTTGGAATTGCCCATAGTCACCTCTTACGACACCTACGGGAAGAAATGAGGTGAAACACTCTCTCCTTTTTTTATAGAATTAGGGTGACAAATGCCCCCACAGCCAACCCGATGGTAAGTGGATGATGTGGACCATAGACATCTACATTTATCCTTAATTACGAATCAAAAATGCAGATGCGTTGTCGCTCTTGAGGACTGAGATGAAATGCCTCGAATTCTCTTCTCTATTCTGCCGCCAATACACGATAACACGTTTTTAAGAGAGGTTTCTATAAAATTATTAAAAGTCTAATTATAATGAAAATAAAGTGAACATACAGAAACAAAAGATTGAAACAGTAACAGTATTTTCGTTAAAGCAAACTAATCCTACGTATTTAATACATCTAACTCTGGAATGAACTTGACTTAAAACAGACGTGGTCTAAGTATCTACTTTAATTTTCAGACTTTGCTGTTATGGTCCTGTTCTGGAATAGCTTGCTGCCTTGCTATTCTAGGCATATACTGCGATCCTCATATACGTATGCAGTCCTGGTACACGCACCGGTTATGGCCATATAAAAAAATTATGAAGGAGAAGAATATACGAGAGGGAATCGGCGATATACGCGAGAATATAGCAAGAGAAAGTGGAAATTTTTCTAGAGATTTATATAAGGAGAACTTGAATGAATCTGATCCTATAGGGTCATTTAGAGTCGGTATAGAAGAACAAAATGCCACTACAACGATATGGTCATTCAAATACGAGCATAATGATAATGCAGGTGAAGAGATTTGGGTGCCAGTAGTACTATTGTCGATGGTGCTGTTTTTATATAACATCGGTTTGGGTTCTGTGCCTTATGTATTAATATCAGAACTGTTTACCGTGAACGTAAGTTTATAGTTTATAACTTTAATTTTTTTAGTAAGTGTTAATTTAAAATATAAAGAATATAACTGTAGATTCGGGTTGGGTTTAGAATCAAGTCGCCTGAATTTGAGGAATCTGTCACTGTGGGGGAGTCCAGGTGGCTTATCTCAAGCGCCCCCATGCAATTTTAGCTGCCGGAGCTGCGTCGAAATATTTAAAATTATTTTCTAAAAATATTAATAAACCGCTAATTAATACCTGAAACGGAACTTTTTGCCATTGACAGTAATCAGTAACAGATATATTCGACCAAAGAGAATATAATCACTAAGTTTATACTCGACTTCGCGACTCCGTCATAAGCGTCATTCCTTTGCTTCCGAGTTTACGTGAATGTGCTCCTTATTGTTATTATCTGCCTCCTGTTTTTGGACGACTTCGCTACCCCTCAGCAGACCGATTGCTTGCTTTTTTACGACGTTTTAGGAAATGGTGGAAGTTTTTAAAATATGTTTACTAATTATAAAAGTTAAATTTTGGTGTTTTATTTGGTGCAAGAGCGAGCGATGCGAGCTCGGAACTTGGGGCACCTCGACTCGGATAGGTTAGGTTAGAAGGGGATGGCGGGGTCGAGTGAACGAGCGAAGCGAGCGAACAGACTCCTCCATCCCCTTCGTGGTTATTTTTTTATAAACCATCTAGAAATAGCCGTAACCGTCGACCGAGCTTCCCTCGACTGCGCCACGTTGAGTGGCGTTTGGCTACCCTCCCCCAACTCTCTGCCCCCACAAAGCAGGTTTATATTGTCAAAAACATTACGAAAACGTAACCTCAAAGTGAGATTTTTAAAAATTTATAAAAAAAACTAAGCACAGGGAATGTATGTGGGGGGTGACTCTACAACTCCCCTCCCCCTCCCCCTACCATCCACACCCCCTCCCCCACCATCCCCATCCCCAAATTCAGGCGACTTGATTCTAAAACTTACCCGTAGATTCGATTTCAAATAAATTTGCATAATTATTAATTTTCATTTGTTAATTTTTTATTTACATAGCGTTACCGTTACAGCCTATTAAAGTTCACTGCTAAATATAGGACTCCCTCATGGATTACCTCATAGAGCAGATCTTTTCCATAATTGCCACGCTTGGCAAGCGATTTGGCAACCGCAGTTTTTTATTTTTAGTCGCTATTAGGAAGACGCTTCCGCACATCTCCTGTTTTATTGCCCTCTGTCACCTCTTACGACACCCACAATTGTATTATAATTTTTTGGAACATTTATTTGTAATTCGGATATTAATTAATTAAGCACTTCGTACTTCCACATCTTATTATTTGACTTGTAGTGGCAGCGCAAGAAAATATAATATCCCATTCCTTTCCGAGGGAGTATTCAGAAGCGACTTTAAATAGGAAATCGAATTGCCACAAAAATCTTTGCTTTCATAAGCATTCGAGATCTATCGGAAGCTATCCGAGAGATGTCGAATGTTTATGAAATCATAGATCATAGATATGTATCTATGATTTCATAAGCTTTCGTTTATACGTGGTAGAGCCATGCTGCAGCTATGCTAGTAGTATAGTTGTAGCACGAATGGGTCGGCTCGACCGGAGAAGGACCACGCTCTCACAGAATACCAGCGTAAAATAGCAGCTTAACACTGCTTTGTTTTTATGGTGAGTGTAGAGAACCGGAGGTACCCTTTTTACTGGAAAAGAGGCATTCCATCTTAGTCCTCACGGGTGATAACGCATCTGCATTATGATTCTTTATTGGGGATAGATGTAGATGTCTATGGGTCACAGCAACCACTTACCATCAGGTGGACTGTGTGCTCGTTTATCACCTTATCCTATAAAAAAATGGAAAAACTATTCCATAACTATGTATTCCATAACCATGATGATCTATAATTTCATTAACATTGATCTCTCCAACTTAACGTTTAGAATAAAATGGAATATAATATAATCCAACGGAATGGAATGATACAGGATAGGATGAGAAGGGATGGCATGCGATGTGATAGGATGGAAGAAAATAATTTTATTCAATTATAGATTACGAGCATGCTTATTGAAAGTAATACGTTTACCACTGGTTAGCAAGAAAACCACTGTCCTAGGAAGCAGCAGCAATAATCCAAGTAGGACTTGGGGTCTGGGAAATGGGGAATGGTTATTAAGAAGACGTTGTAGCTTGTTTCCTGGTTTGCTTGCCTTCTTCACCTCTTGTGTCACCAATGGGATGGTATAGGTTTTTGGATGCTTTTGACACTGCAATTACACGGTTAAATAAATTCAAATTACTTAGTAATAATTCTCTCATTGACAGGTCCGCAGTCTAGCTTCGAGTTTCCTCATCACCTGTACATGGCTCAGCAACTTCTTACTTCTCCGCTACTTCGGCACGATGGCGATCAATCTTGGCCTTCACGCTACATACTACATTAGCGCTACAACCACACTTATCGCCGCTGGATATATTTACCTGGTCATACCGGAGACTAAAGGCAAATCCCAGGACCAAATCGATGAGGAACTGAGCGGACCTTTGCTCTTGCACCGGAAGAAGGGGAAAGATCGTAACCAACGATGACAAGAACCGAACGACAAGGTGTTTTCCGTCTCAGATATGACGATAACTTAACATCAAGACTTGATTTATTAGTTCATTGATTAAGTGTCAATGTCTTTCTTTCTTTATCAGCCCCTAACATTCTACTGCTGGTTATTCAGCAGTAAGGCATCTCTAATATTTTATAAGATTTGCCTTAATCAACACTCAAAGCGGCTCTCGACGTGGTAGAGCCACTTTTCATCTATATTATGGGAAGGGGAAGGACCGTGCTCTCACCGAATGTCAACGTAAAATAGCAGCTTAATGCTGCTGTGTATCGGATGATGAGTGTAGCGAACCGGAGTCTTTTACTGGTAACGCGGCATTCTTCTAGGTAATAGGAGTAACGATCCATCTTTAGTTTGATTCTTGATCGAGGATATAATATGTAGGTGATTATGGGCCGCACCCACTTACTATCAGGTAGACTCTTTGCTCGTTTGTCATCCTTGTTCTATAAATAAGGTAGGCGGACTGACGATCGTAATACCAAAATCTCGCACTTTTTATAAAACTGAAGTGAGAAACGAACTTACAACCCAACTGACGGTAAGTGACTATTGCTGTCGATGGACATTTGAAACCAACTTCAAACCAAGTAGGCCACAGATTAGCTATCACTTCTGAGAACTAAGATGGAATGCACACCTGTATTAATACTGACTCTCTATACAAACCGATCAATCAATCGACCAATCCGAAACACAGCAGTGCAAGCCTGTTTCTGCCGCCAAATAGCAGTCTATTCTAAAGTTTGCTATCTACCCAGACGGATTCCTAGTATATTTATTACTGTTCCTCTTCTTCTTCGTCATCTGGTGTATACACAAGATTGTTATATAAGCCCGCTGTAATGTCCCGCCGTATGTAAGCCCGCTCTTTTTGCCAATTTCCATAGTCAACTCTTACCCAAGGGATGAGGTGAGGCGATGAATTTCTTATTATTCGCCTCAACTAAGAGTGTTTTACAATATTTCTATTCGGTAAATAAATTTCGCACGAATTTAATTTTAACTATGTTCTAGTATTATTTCTTGAAAATTGAAAATAATTAATTTTGCGAATATGATATTAATAAAAAAAATGTTTCGATTTGCACTATGTGTAAGTATTTGATGCCAATGTTTTAAAATTAAAAAGAAAAACAAAATGAATATCAATTTAGCGGGGTGATAATAATTAATAATTAAATTAATAATTAATAATTAAAAACCATTAGAGCGTATATAAATATTTAAAATAATAGTTTTCCGGATTTGAAAGTATGATCGTATACAGGTTTTATGTAGGGTTAATTTGCAATATACGGCCAAATTTGCAGAGAGATTCAGAATAAGTAATATAGACCAATGATGAAGAAAAATTATTTCAAAAAAATCTTAGACATACTGCCCTTTTTTTCTTTTAAATTCAGAATGCATTAGTAATGCATTATTTTAAGTGATTGTCATTCATAACATCTGACGCCTTCTATTTTACTACGCACGCAGACATTTGTCATGGCCAATCGATCGGCTATAACGTTGTGAATTGAATCGTACACAGAGGACTGTAGTGTAGCGTAGTTGTTGCCCATAAATCACATTCAATTTGAGATAATTAAAAAAAAGACGATCCTTATTTACTCGTATTTATAAAAACGCCAATAATGGATTATCATTATTTATATATTTATATTTAAGTACAAAATTTGGCTACTCTTCAGAAAATAACCCAGTATGTGAGCCAAAAGAGTTGGCTCAGCCAAGTCTTTTTAGAAGGCCAGCAACGCACCTGAAAATGCCCCGGTGTTGCAGGTGTTCGTCGGTAGCGGTAGTCACTTACCGGCAGATCAGCAGCAATATCATTTGCATTTGCATTAAAAAAAAACTAAATTGCTTTTACGATAAAGAAAAAACACAGAGGGGCTTACACTAAATTTTCTACAAAATAAATCTATAAATAAATATATAAATGAATTGCTGTTTATTAGTCTTGCTAAAACTCGAAACTGGTAAACCGATTCCGATGAAACTTTTGTGTGTGTTATAGTACCCTTGGATGGTTTAGATTCACAATTGGACCCGGTAGGTGCAGCTGTTGTCGAGTAATCAATCTAGTCCGTGATAGTTATATTAACCTTAACCGTAGTCGGGTAAAAATGAGATTCCAAAATACTGATACACTATCAATCTAAAGATTAATTATTTACTTATAAAAGTTTCTTGTGTAAAATAATATATATATATATATATATATATATATATATATATATATATATATATTGTTTACAGGTTATATTTTTAATTTGTTATTTATGATAAACGTTTAATATGTAAAATATTTTGTAAAGATTGTAACCATCATAATATGTTATTCTTTTTTAAGAGGGAATTGTAATTTAAGATTATTAAAGAAACATATTATGTACATTTTGTATTTATAGTCAGATTACGACAACTGTCAAGTCTTCAGATAATTATATCTACCAAATAATACAATCGAGTATTTAATACTACGCACAAAATTTGTAATGTATTTGTTCAAATTTAGACTGTAATAGAAAAAAAAAATATGTGTGTACGCACTTAGGAAGTTATATTTCTTTAACGTAACAAAACAAAAAAAAAACTTGAGAGACAATTACCCACTGAAGTTGTCGCTTTTAGGTGTCGGTGTGCGCGCGCTACGTAACAACTTCATGGTGTCGTTTTTAGGTGTCGGTGTGCGCGCGAATAGTAAAAATTCACTATAATCATTTTTCCCAAATGCCTAAAAAAAGAAGTATAACTTCAAAAATGTGACAGTAACATAATATGTCTTGATTATCAAAAACGTGATTGAAATAGTTCCACTCACTAATAGTATTAAAACAGCAGTATGCGTATTTTTGTATAGAATATTCAAAAGGAAAGTAAGATAATATTTTAATGTTACAACACTAGCGTATTTTTATATTTAAAGTCAGTTAATAAACATGAAAAATCAAATATCCGCGAATGTAAGTGTTTAGATTTAGAATAGCAACATATTATATTGGTATTTGCGCTGCGTTATTAAAAATTAATACACGGAACTTTGCACCGTTAGAAAAAAAACATATGACGAATTATTACAATTTATAACATAATATTATATATTATGTTATATAAATAAATGTTATTAATATTGAGATACAATTGGAAAGTAACACATCATATAAATAAGGAATTTCATTATAAATATATTACACATAAGCTGCGTAATATGTAAGTCAATGAGATAAGCATATAATATACAAGAATTGCTCGCTTAAAATCATAGTATAATATAACTCAATTTTCCATTTTAATTAAGTAGATTAGTTAATTTAGAAGTTCAAATTTTAACATATTTTCACGTTAAAATGCTTATAGATTAGGTACATAACACGAACTCTCACCCCTGTCTCACAAAACACCAACGTAAAATAGTAGCTAAATGCTGCTGTGTTTTGTATGGTAGTGTAGAGAAACGAAGACCTATTTTACTGCTCACCAGGCATTCCATCTTAGTTCTCAGGGGTGATGACGCTTCTGCATTTTAAGTCTTATTCTAGGATATATGTAGATGTCTATGAGCCACAGCATCCACTTACAATCAGGTGGGCAATGTGCTCGCTTGTCAGCTTTATTCTATTAAAAAGAGGGCTAGGCAGAGAATACGGACTTGCATTTGGCATTATCCTGACATATCTCTATCACTTCTTACGCATCACGCACATTATATATTACATACACAAACATGCGTGTCTATCGAATTATTCGATAAACTTTCAAGCTAGAAGTCTAATTCTATTGTTTTAAAAAAGGATGTCTATCGAGTGATGTACGTCTACGTAACGCACAAACGTGCGTTTATACGGTAGTTAACTTTTCGTTTCGGTAATCTAATATATAAAACTTAATGTTTGTTTATTCATATTTTATGCGCGGCCATATTGTTCATCAGATTGCGGTAAATCTTTGACAAGTTATAGCTTGCACTTGCGTGAACCTTCACGCAAGTGCAAGTATAAGTAAATTGTAATATGCCTTTAACCTTAAAGGCATATTACAATTTACTTATACTAGGTGGCGCGTGTATCGTAGCGACAATTTATTTGAAAGTTATAGATCATTCAACTTTTAATTAAGAGTGACAACTATTGTGTTGTCACTCTTAATTAAACAATGTAACACTTCCAAATTTAAACCAATATATCCACAGTTGTTTCTTCTGCAGTAGCAATGCGCTGGGTACCAGCTAGTATCACTATAATATATTATTGTATCAGAATAGAATAAAATAGAATGATTTTTATTCAATATCGATTATTACATAATACTTATTGAAAGTCATTTTTTTATTTACCACTGGTTTGGGAAATACCTCTGTCCTTAGAAGAACCAGCAAGAAACCCGGCGGGACTTTTTTTAAACATAATTTTACTTAACAATAAATTTGTTTATACAATTTTAAAAGAATTTTCATAGAACCAGCATTTTGGCGATCACCTTATTCCCAGGGGTTATTTTCATTCATGTATTCCTTGATATTATAATAACCCTTTTTGTATAATATTATATTACCTCCAAACTCCAAATTTATTTCACACTAAGTGTATGATGAATTTTGTTTTTATTTAAATCGATTCTGTATTTATTTTAACCATAAAAAATTGAAGTGTCGATAATATGGAACTGATATTATCCATTACCTATTTTTTCAATTATCGATAACTAACCCTTGTCCTTACGTTTATATGGATATAGAATCTAGTAGCAGATTAGGGTTATCATTCGACGATCACTGTCATTAATTGGGTCTTATTCAGTGCCTATCTTCAGCTACTACTACTGAGTTAGATAGAATGCGTTGATTTCAGTGTTTTAACTAGCTGTTGTATAAATAATACTTATATCGTCAACATGCCTTTATGTTTATTAATTTAGAAAGTGTATTATTGAGAAAGTGTCTAAAAGCTTTAATTATGTAAGAAA